TATAGGATTTTGATACAGTATTTGAAACTTCTCTTAGAGTTGTTTTCTTAAATTAGGAAAGTAATATATGAGAAGACACGATAGCCTCAAGCCCAGTACATTTCGTTTAGAACAGGCGACACTCTTGCCCTCCTCTAATGTTCTTTCTACATTTTTTAACCTTGCCACAGCTTTTTCCTTTTAGAAATGGAGAAGCAGAGCTCCAGAGGAAAGCGTGTAAGAGCCGCTAGCCTCAGCACCTCGAAATGTGGTCAAATTTGAAGAAGCAGAGATGCCTTCACTAGACCATATGACATTGTTTTCTGATGGAGTGTATCGTTGTCGGTATTTGAATTGTGAATGGAAAACAGATGAAGATAAGAAACATCTTTTAAGGTACCTTTTGTTTCTATAACGAACACAATGTAGTATCTAATATTTTCCAGGAAACACGCTCGGATACACGTCAAACCTGTCAAATGTCCACAAGCTTTTTGTAATTATCGTACAGCTGAACAAACGGATATGCGCCGACATGTCGTAACTCATCATAAGCCATGGGCTAGAGAACATCTGGAGATCATAGAAAAGTTTACTTGCGACAAATGTGGCTCGTCTTGTACACGCAACGATAATCTCCGAAGGCACCGGGACAGGACGTGCAACGGGTAGTGCAGAGATAAATAACACTTAAGCTTTGTTTTCCAATTTAAGATTCATCGTGCTTAAAAAAGAGAGCAGTACAAAATATGTAGTCAAAACAGTATAAGCCAAAGACACCATCCGCTTTAAACGAGCAATGTTGTAGTTGCCCTCAATGCATCCAGGCCTGAATGAAAACGCCTCCGCCCTCACCATCCGATTCTTCGTTGTTATGAGTCAATAATCCAGGGCTAATCGATGGTCCTCTGGCTTGATTTTTTGATTGTTGATTCTGTTTTTCAATGGGGGTATCTTCGCTCATAACCATTGAACTCTTTTCCGAAACGTTGATAGGTGCTGGGGTGTAGCCGAGGGAATGGAGATCTGTAATTTCTGTTTTTGTATCAGGACGTCTCTGACCAACCGAGGATTGTCCAAGGGCTTGACTGATGACAAGATTGCGAACCTCGTGAATCACTTTGTTCAGTATATGTAACTGCTGCCTTCCTGCCCCGTGGGACTTCGAGAAGTTCTCTACCAGAGGCGGTCCCCAGTTTGTCCACACATTTCGATGCGATTCAGGGACAATCATTCGTGCTGGGTGGTGTTTGAAATACATTTCGCAACATAGACAGGCCGCCTTACTGCAAGCGACAAAGCGATCATTTTCGGTGAATTGTATTTGATATCGATGAAAATGATCAAGTATTTGGACCTCTGCATGGATTCGTGGCTTTAGATTCCGATATTCGCCCGGAAATCTATCGAAGAGTCGATTCGCAGCGTTGATTTTTGACAGTCCATGTTCAATGTCGAGTCGCTCGTCGTGTCCCTTCCCTAACATACGGTTGAGAATTCCGTCAAGTTTTGTATGTCTGTCGGGTGCGGGAGGTGGCACCGGTGCTATGTGATCCACAGAGGAAACTTCGCAACTTTCTAGTATTTGGCTCATATCAGTGACAGCTTTAACAAGCTCCTTTGATGCTCGGATATGATGTGCTAGCCGTCCGATGTAATGTCCTACAGGCCCAAGAGGATCGCATGCTATGTCTGGGCTGAGCAAGTTTTCTTGCCGTATAGACCGCAACCATGGGAGAAATGGAGAATGCCTGGTTTCGTATGCAAACGTGCAAAGTGTGAGATCATCATCATGGCTCAGGAGCGATCTTAACCACTTGCGTAGTCTTTCGGCTACCAAGGCATTAGCATCGGCAATTTTATAACACCTTACTGGCGGTGCACACCTTCAATGGTAGCTGAATGTGAAAGCTTTCGGCTACAAGCATCCACGGCCCTGAATAAGCAGTTTTTTTCCTTTCTGATGCGCTTTTCCGCAAAATCAACATAAAACTTCACAGACTCTGCTTCCCTTTGAGGTAGCTCCGATCCTGGCACCTCATTTAAATCGTGCAGTAGCCCAAGAACAGCCTTAAGAAACTCAGCTATTTTAGCTTGTCCTTTATTTGAAGCGACATATAACCGATAGCATGCGCCGAGGTCTGCAAGTCCAATCGCGGTGCAGGTATCTCCGCCTTTTTCAAAGTCAAAAATGTAGGAAAGATTCCGCAAGAAATCCCGACGCACAGCTTGGCCTGCATTTACATCGTGCGGTTTCGGCTGGTGATTCCCACGGCTCTGTCCAAGCAATCGCAACAGCACCAGTGGTTCATAACACCTGCTGAGAACCTTGTGATACGGGTCGAACCTCGGGCGACCGACGGTTTTGGGTTTGATTTCAAGTGTTGGTGAAAAGGTGCTATACCCGGTCGATCTGGCTTCGCGAGGATCCATTGTGATCGGATTATCGCAATATGCTGTCTTCGAAAGAAATAATCCAAAGAACATGAAAACGCGAAAATGGAAAAGTGCGTGCTGACACAAAGGTCGTTTTTATTCCGTAGTTTTGGATAGTAAAATAAGCCACGCGTAACTTGAGATCAGAGCGGCGGCACGCGGAAGGCTGTACGTAGTGGATTTGAGAGGGGTACTTTTTACTCGGCCAACGCACGAGTCGAAGTCCATGACGGACTAAGAGAAAGGGTCGATAACCATCATGCGGGAGGCATGCGGGAGGCAGATCAGATGATGCAGGAGACGGACTGGACCATGCGGGAGGCAGACTAGGCTATGCAGGCGGCAGAATAGGCTATGCGGGAGGCAGAATAGGCTATGCGGGAGGCAGACTAGGCCATGCGGGAGGCAGACTAGGCCATGTGCCATGAGTCAGAAAGCCCTTATTGCAGATTCATGCATCTACAAAAAAAACCTTTCAAAACACTTGAAAATTAAATACGGAGAACATTTGGGACACTTGCATACGAGCCTGCATATATGGCTTGCAACGTAAAGTGTACAAGTAAGTATCCATGTTGTTTCAAACTGGAATCGTCAGGTTGAGAATACGTATTTCAGTATATATAGATAAGCTGTTCGAGCGTTCGTAATATGGTCAAGCTTCGAGAATTCAACATTGTATGAGAATCTTTTCCAAAAGTCCAAACTCCCCACACGTCACTTATTACACAGACATAACGTCATTTCATTCGATTACCTGTATCCGTCATGTCTGAATCAGGAATCCACATTACCGATCCTCAAACAACCCTTTCGAAAAATCCAGCGGAATTCTATATCGAAAACATGTTCCAAATTCACAACCCCGACACTGGTATAGACTGGCTTAATATGATTAAGCCGTCAAACATTCGGAACCTACGCAGACTTTGGATCTCTGTTCATGCTGTATACAATCCGGGGCCTCACCCAGATTTCCTAACAAACAATCCTCCCAATGGCCCGCGATGGCGCGAGCTTCTCGAAAAACTGTTCACAGAAGCAGAATGTCTCGAAGAAATGGTGTTATATCTTGATTCAGAACCGACTGTCAACCACTGGGCTCCAGCTGTGGATGCTGATTTTGCGCGAACGCTGGGAAAATTTTCAAATTTACAAAAACTGGAAATTAGAGGGTATTTTCCGAAGGAATGGCCGGGCTATTTGGAGAAAAGAACAGGACTGCGGGTTTGGCAGGAGGAGAGGCAGACAGAGCAGTATTTATCATCGCTGCGGGAGTTTCAAGAGCTTTTGAAAGATCAAACTCTTTGAATATGAGCAATGCTCATCTTTGCTGAATACTATACTCGCTCACTCTCGAATTCATATGCCGTGTAACTAGTCCTCCTTCCCAAAATGTCCCATGCTTGATCTTCAGATCTATAGTTCCACTTCCAACCCTATCTTCCTATGCTAGCGTGAGACCTGTTAGCCTGCATCTTGGCTTTCGCCCTCTATTGATTTTCTCTTTGTCGACTCATTTGGGTAGCCTCATTATGATTTCTTGATATGCACTTGACATTCAATTATCAGTTATCATGACGTAATAATGGCAATTTAATGTATAGCATGTGTAACCTCCATGGCCCCTGGTCTCGACATAAACAAGCGTGCGTAAGTCACTGAAACGGAAGCAATTATTAGTACTCTACCACATGATCAATTTTACCACTGTTCGAGTCCCTCTAATATCTAGGAAAAACATTCAATCAGCTATTGTACTACAACTTGGTGAGTTCGCACCTTATGGTGCGCTTGTGGGTGACTGCTCGATTATTCAAAAGTGGAGATTGATTTATTGTTAATACGGGAGGCTCATTATCCACTACGCAGGAGGCCCGTGATGCAAGAAAATTATCATGTAAGGGAATCTCATTGGGTCATATCTTGCGGTGGAAAACCCAAGGTTGTGTGGCAATATGTGCCCTGCCCATGCTGTGTCTCGCTCCTTTTTGATCAAACCAGGAAGTAATGATAGGATTTTTTTTTAATTCAAGGGCCGTGGAGTCACTATTTTAAGCGGGCCTTCATGGACTGATCATAGTTTGAGAAACTTTTGGTAGAAGCCTTATGGAACACTTCCAATGCCATATGAGCGTTGAATTGAAGCTGAATTTACATATAATGAAAACTGTGGGGATGATCACATTTTTTTATCATAGATCGACAATAGTCGATATAATAGCAGTGAGTCAAGGAAGTCTCCATAGGGGGTTTGCTTGCCCCTTCTATCAGAGTGATGAATTCCACCTATAGGAGAGCTGAGACGGAACGATAAGCGCCCCTCACATTGTATGTGTTTCAATCTTCTGCTCGTGCAGATTGTGATAGACAGCATCATGCAAAGACCTTGTTCTGTGGAAGTCTAAGGTTATACTGTTTGTATAAAGGGGTCCAGCCTGTTGATTTAAAGACGTTCCTAAGTTCATTAGCCACTCTCTGAAGTCTCCTCGCAACCCAACTAAGCAAAAATTGGACCCAAAACTGGTTCCCTGCAATCCAAATCAAACTCCCACTACATTCGTCCCTCTGTCAAACTTTTCGTCATGGAAGATTCTGTTGCATCCAAGTCAATGACGTTAGAGGAGACACTGTACCTGTTCCGCCACATATTTCTCCCACCAGAAGTTCCCCAGGCAGAAGATTACAATGTGCAACAAGAACATCGTCTCCTCGAGAGCGTCGTTGATGCTCTCCGCAGGTTCAGCGATTACGTTCCGACCGCAGATACTACTATCGTACGTAAGGCCACCGAGATGGTTTCTCGCCTAAGAAAAGCATACAGCCCTCATGGGGACGTTGATGAAAAGCAGCTCGAGATGAGTCTGGCAGAGCTACCTATTCGGGGTAAGCATTGCACGCAAATTATTGTGCTCATTTCTAACCAGGCCGTAGGCGGATTCCTCCCAATTCACGTTCGCGAGCAAAACGCAGGAATCCTCCTATACTGGCATAACGATGCGATACACATCGAATCTTTTGAGTTGTCAGCTCGCAATGAAGCCGTTACAATAACAGTGGGACGGCTGCGCCGTGCTTTCCCGGGTCCGACTATGGTTATGAATAGGGCAACTTTCGAGGAACCCGGATTCCGAGCGTTTATGGCGCAAACGGTTTCGAGAATGAGTCACCAGCCCGTTGCTGGAACCAAGCCAAGAGTCAAGAAGGCTGGACAGGAGCACGATGAGACCAGGGACACCACGCATCCCAAAATGGTGACAGAGCTTCTCATGTCGACTCTTCGTCCTCGATGCACCGACATCGCGTCTGTACAGATTCAGAAGAACACTCGCGAGGAAGTAATGTGGCGTGATTGCCAATCGCCGTGGCGCCGATCTGCATTATGGCTCCTGGTGCGCGTGACACTGCAGCTAGTGTTTCGCAGACTGTCTACAGAAGGGAGCTTGGACGATCTGTACAAACAATTCATGGTATTCTTCATGACCTCGATAGTTGACAGGGCTTCAATTGCAATACCCTCCGAGAATCTCTTTCTTATGAATGCCAAGATCGTTCGCAGACTGCTGAAGCTTGACTTGGCAGTTGTGCCTGCCTGGTTCACCTCAGTTCAGGAAATCTTGAGTCGTACAAGCAGCGCAGTTCAAGGCCAGTAGACGCATATTAGGAGCAAAAATAGCCACAGTGTCGACATGCCACTGCTGCGTGATTTAAATTTCCGTCAAGATATTCAATGTGCGCTCCCCTGCCTTGACCGCTACCTCGAGAGCATAGAAAATCGAAGCAACAAACGCCCGTGCAGAGAAAGTTTCCAGCCGCAATCGAAGTTGATCAAATACCAACGAACAGAGCTTCCAAATCACCTCGATTCACACGATTCTGATTACCAAGCGTACAACCTTGCTGCCTTTGAGGATTGGGTTGCTTCGGATCTCAATGCATGTCTGGAAATTCACCAGGGCGAGGAGGCAGCCTGTGGTCAACTCGGTGCTTTGATGACTCGATACTTCGAGAAAGCGTCTTCGTCGTATTCAGACAACCCGGAAGCCACATCAGTCATGCTCCTTACCCTCTTAGAGCTGTGGATTGCCTGCGACAAATCGGCGATTCACATACATGAGACCTTGAGAGACTATGACGCATGCATACCAGTTGACTGCTTTCAATCACTTTTGCTGCCTTTTCGATCGCACATGGAGAGGCTGGCGTGTGCTGAAAAGTATCTGAGTCGACGTCAGGCTCGCCTTCGCTACCATGGCCCGAACATTTTCCAGGAATTCGGGACTTCCTCCTGCTTCGCTGTTCGATACTTCGAGCAGTCTCACAAACATCAGCAATTGCTTGCAGCCATCGAAGAAAATGCCACTCAGGAGAGGACGAAGAAAAAGGTCGAGCTTTGGGAAAAGCAGCAACGTTACCGGGAATTGATGGCATTATCTTCTAAGACACCATGTGAATCTGTCGAAATCATTGTGGATAAGAGACTTGGGCTTCGGGATAGAGTCCACCACAGTGATTGCCCTCGAGAACGTTATCAAAGGCAGGCCGAGTCGATTGAAATCAGCATACATGAGTGGCCTCTGCCGACCAATCGCTCAAGGGCCAAAGCCACTGTCTTCGAACTTCGAGTACCCGAGCCCTTTGGAAGCTGGCGTGACACCACGCTGTTTTTCCTGCATCGGTGTTTGAATATGAAGTACGCGGTGGAAGAACGGCCCAGAGCAGAGCATCGTCCACACACATATCGAGGTCTCTCTCCGTTCTTCAGCAACCACGGGCGTAACCAGCGGATTAGTCTTCTTTCTCAGAATAAGCCTCACGAGAGAACTCATCGACGCGACAGGTTAATTCTCAATGTGACGGAAAATGATGTCTGCTTCAACAATGGACTTCACTTCCAATACTTTGACAATGTTCTCGGATGTTTTGTGAGCGGCTTTGACTGGACTCATCAAACAGAGACTTCCTACACCTATAGGTTCCCGGCACACAGTTCAGCGCTGCAGCAATTTCTGTTTCGACCTGCCATGAATCCACATGGCCCGTCACCAAATACTGTCATTGCGACACAGTGCGATGCCCCTGCTGACATGTCACTGGAAGAATACAAGGCCCTTGCAACCATGCCCCTTGGACTGGAGATCCAATGGCAAAATATCCTGCTGGAACTATCAATGCCATCGGTGGACATGAAAAAAATCGAAACCACAATCTTTGTGCTCCAGATAATCAATCAAGCGGGCCCATCCAAAACAGGCACGACATTGAGACAAGGACATGCGATTTTGTGCGACGAGGTATTCACAGTCGAGGTACTCTCGCGAATTGAAGAGACAATGGAGAGGATCCAGCAAAATTGGGAGACCATACATGGGATCAAAAGTCTCATTCGGCTGGTTTTGAGGATTTTGTCTTTGCCTCCTTCTCAGAAAGTCTGTGCGATGTGCCTTCAGTGTCTAAACAACCTCCGCCGATCTGCTTTCCACTGGGTCAATCTTGTCAGAACAAAAGCTAGTGAGACTATTGATGATACACACAAAACCAATTTAATTGCAAAGAGCGTTCATATCGCTTTGGTCTGCACAGAGACATTCAACGCAGAAACCATTGCCCCTATGTTCGCCATCTCGGCAGATGTTTCGATCTTTCTGCAGTGCTGTTCAGTCATTTGGAACGGGAGGAACTCTCTAACAACAGAATCAGGTTCATTGCTTCAAATTCTGTACCATCGGTAGCAAGTTCTGTGTCATCGCAGCCATGTTATTCTCGCAGAGCGTATCGTTGAATGCAAGAACCCAGGACTAGACCTGGCCATCGACGCAGCCTGGGCAGCCTATGACAAGACCTCTAAGTGGTCCAGGGTGTCAAACGACGTGACATATTGGTTGTTTACTCGGTTTGCCGGCCAGTCCGGGTCTAGCGAAGACATGTTGTTGCACTACAACCTCTTGACTGGAGAGCTCCTTGTGGATGGCCTCCCGCTTGCACGTTTGCCTTCTGAGTATGAATCTCATCCAACATATCGCAGCTTATTCGGGAAATCTCAATTGGACGTAATGCCCAGCAACACACCGGGGATGCAATTTTCGTGTCAAAAGCAGTATTCGGGCTACACGGTACACCTCGGAAAAGAGACCGTGCCAGAGTCCACTGATTCCGACATGTCAGTCAAAGCGGTGAAGGGTGGGGAGCAAGTCTGGCAGCTGGTTCCGTCTAGACTTTTTGCTGGAGTTTTTCCGGATGAGTTTGTGGAATGCTATGCGCACTGGTATTCGGTCTCAGGGGACCTGGTGGAATTCCGACCTTTGGAAGCGCCATGGCTGTCATCCAGTCAAAACTGGCAGCTCCAGAGGAGCTCTTGTGAAGCTTCCTGGAGCCCCGGGAACAAGTCGGGACGACAGATCATCCATGTCATTTTACAAGCAGCCAGGAACACCAAGACACACTGCACGTCGATTCGACTACAGTGGATACCGGACATTGCAAAATACCCGGGAACGACGCTGCCGACTTGGTAGGCCAAGATGCAGCCATACTGGGACAAACACACCCGTTTTGCTTTTTGCTGTCACGCGAGAGAGCACACATTAGGCAAGGGATCCACACCCAATGGAAGAAGGAATGGAGCGAGTCAGCCACCGACGCTCATCTCCGCCTGATCGACAACACACTGCCGGCAAAGTATACCAGACGGCTCTATGGACGTCTGCCTAGAAACCGAGCGTACTTGCTAATACAGCTACAAACTGGACACAGCTGGTTGTCAACATACGCCAAGGCATTCCGATTCCGAGATAACGGCCTGTGCGCCTGTGGCGAACAGGAAAGCGTCCACCACGTGTTGTTGGGTCGTCTAAGACTGGGAATATTAAGAAGAAAGCTCCGAGGAAAGGCTGGCGACGCGTTTAACAGCATCCCGACTCCGTTGAGAGGACCTGGTAAGGAAGGAAGAGGTAATATTGACGGTGCATGGCGGTCCAAGACGGTGGAGGCCGTTTTGGGGTTTCCTGAAGCATCGCAACGGTCTCAAAGCCGCGCCCCATAAGGGCAGCCTAATATAACGACGGCACAGAGGCCACGGCGAGGCTCTAAGTTCGCTTAGGAAGAGCTACATGGCCCTATGTACATAGGAACGTATATATAGTAGCGGTAGACTGTATATCGTTTCGACAGTTGGATTCTAAACCACAACCCACTAGGCTGGGTACGGATTCGTATTTTGGTCTAGTGGTTAAATCAACTGGTTATGAGCCCGGATTGCGCGACCTCTGAGCGTATAGGTTCGATCCTCACAGCTTGCGTTCTTGAGCACCCAGAGCCACCAGAAGACGGCCTAGGATTGGCCGCACAGCCAGGCAGCAGAGCTTTCATACGCGCCCCCAGCCAAGCGTTTATGGTTTACGGGGGAGAGTTGGATTCTAAACCACAACCCACTAGGCTGGGTACGGATTCGTATTTTGGTCTAGTGGTTAAATCAACTTCGACGAGAGGTCAGCGTTAATGAACTATACACACACACATACTATACCGAACCTCACTGGATCCATAAGTTCTCTGACTAGGAAATAGGGAAAACCCGCAACCAGGAACGATTGTACTGTATACAATCTTGTAGAGTGATAATTAATAGTCGGAGACCTCGTCAAATGGGACCTGATAGCCAACCCTTCTATTTCCTATTCCCCACATTCTACAATGTGGGGAACCTAATCTAGGCCTTCTCACTCATTAGGATCCTAATAAACCCTATTCAAGAATTTCCCTTGCCATGTATCGGCATCATAATCATTCATTGTCCGTTCAAATAACAACATAGAAATTTCATTTTCAAAATGTTCATAGGCTCCTGAATTGACGACGTTCAGCAAGTAGCGATTGAAAGCGTCGATTGAGGCAATCTGCTACAAATCCTAGGTCTCTTATAATATCTTCGGTACGAATAGCGAAATAACAACGCAGTGTCTCTACTAAAGACTTTGAGAGCTGCGATTCAACCAAATATTCCTTCAAAAATGATTTCATTCACAACTATCCGTCTGCAAAGGCTTCGATACTAGGTAGCTTCAGAAGGCGTATTACGCGGAGAGATTATTGCGTCTAAATAAACCTGCTTTGTTTCCTACCTTCCACAGCCGAGCTTGAAGGAGCAACATAAGCAGGTCTTGCCAGTCTAAAGTATTCATGTTGAGCATGTTCACACCAATACGGTGGATATTCTGGCAATGGACGAGCGGGCTCCGGTTTAGAATCCTCCGAATATTCTGAGACTATTGGCATGTTGTTGATGATTGTTTTGGCTTTCCAGCAGATACGTCTTAAGGAATAGATAGCCGGGGTCCGCTGCACTCATAATAGATATTTTTGGATATTTATCCAAGCACACAGAATGGGCTCTTTCTGCGCCATCTCTGGATCCAAAAGAGGGTTCATCAATTTCAAAAGAAGGGCGTTGAAGTTGCCGTCTTTTCCATCAAAAGTCCACTGCACGCAGAACTCAAACAGCCTTGGGTAGAAGCCGGCAGATGGATGCCCAATCAATAAGGCACAGTGACCCATCTTCTTGCCACAAGATGTTCCAGAGGTGCTATATCCAAATGACAAAGCACGAGTTCATGGCCCCGTAAAGTCAATTTCGGATTATGTGCGAAAAGCCGGCTATTGAACCACTTCTCCATTCCGCCAAGACTGTTGAAAACCAGTTCCTCGGGTCCAGGGAAAGAAGACCGCGACAAGCACTTCCATGAAGTGATCCGGGAACGTTATGAACCTCGCTCATCACAAAAGAAATCACACACGCGTGGGATACGAACTTTGCGGCAGTCCACAAGTTCATATGCTAGTCTCTGATTTTCGAATTCTTCTTTGCTCACATCCGTGCGCCATTTGACGACTTGATGGTCGGATATTCTGATAATGCTTTTGGCGTATGGGCTAAGAATACTGCCAGGCAACTGATTTGCACAAGAGGCGACCACCGAGGCTCATTGCAAGTCTCGAGAGGCGTCATCCTTCTGCAGGAGGGCTGCGATCACAAAGAAGCAACCGGTTTCACAGCGGACTCCGAATATCAGTCCCAATGTTATGGAAGGGTAAGTGGAAATGGGAAAGGTTTAGACCTGAGCTTTCAAGCCAGTCAGCGGGATGATAAAAGAAGGTCAGTATCATTGGAAAGGTGAGATAAACTAGCGATGCGGAGTGGCCAGGTACATGAGCCGTGGTTGATCGACACAGCCAATTTTGGACTTCGAATTAAAAGTATGTCTGTAACGCCAGATTTCAGTACGGTACTGCTCGTAACATTTCATTGTAATATTTGTCGTAACAGAGCCTCCAGCTCAGTCACATAAAGTACCATGGGCTTAATTTAAGGGACAAACTCTGAGGCAACATAATAGAAAACCACTAATGCTGTAAGTTTAAACCGATACTCCCATTCTGAAATTACCATGGAAATCGAAGTCTACGTAATGTAATCGCGATTCTCAGCCTGCGGCCTGCAGCAGGGATAGAGTCCACGAACTTAAATGCTTTATAATAAAGTATGGAAATCAACACCAAAAAACACTTCTGAATACCGCTGTAGGCGGGCCATCGATCACCACCAAACTCCACGTGGGGACAGTTAACCCGTGTAAGATTAGGGAGGCAAACGTGAGGTCTAATCACTCACGTCATATACCAGAGACTTCGCTCATACATACCATCCTGGGAGTGACTGTAAAGAATCTTGGAACAGTGTGTCTGAGCATGATTGATGTATTCGGATGTAATGAAACGAATGGTAATGTAATGTATGGTATCTTATTATATGAGTAATTATGAATTAATCATATATTCATGAATATTGCGAATATGAATAAAGAGCTTATTCATATTCATATTCCTTTCGGATCTTTTCGGATCCCTATTTCACAATCCGACCCACGCCAACATGGCAGCCACTTCACTAGGCAGTAGCATGACGTGCTACTGTAGGTACAATAGCTAGTTCCTTCATGGCTTCAATTATTATCACACTTGTACCTCAATCCACGGCTTAAACTTTGACGAGGGGTCTGTGTAAATGATACTACTACTACTACTACTACTACTACTACTACTACTACTGCTGTATATATCCGAACTTAGCACCTACTTTTTGGACAGCACTTCACACCATCCAATGTGAACATAGTATGGACTGACTGAAAGCCAATATCTCTCATAGGACCAATCCTGCGTGTATGAGATATACCGACACCGCCCCCAAGGAACGACCATCCGTTGAATCCGACCCAAATTCTGGGACCCCAAGAGATCCAAGAAAACTTGACATTGCGGAAACCACGTTTTCATAGAAATAGAATGAGTAATCGACAAAGAACTCTCACATATAAGTCACTTAAAGCTCTTTATCCACGATGATGCACACTATAGAGCTAAATATGGACATACACCAGTACTTCTCGAGTGAATAAAATAACATACAACTTCAACAATAGCGATACCGATATTCTATACAGATTAGCAAAGATGATCAATCCATGTATCCATCCATACAGACCTGTTTTCTTTTCAATTTCATTCATGACCTCTGCTAAATGAGTGAATACCATCTCGCCCCGAATTCTTTCCGCCTCTCCCGACAACGTGCCATCAGCCACTGCCTCTTCATATGCACGAAGGTCACCAAACGTTCTTCGAAAAACTTCCGCATAGCGAACAGACTTGGGTGCCATGCCCGACTTCAAGTAGGCATTCACAGATACCTCATGATCATTTTCCTTCTCTGCATCCGTCAAACCATTATAATACTGCCGGTACCTCTTAGCACTATCGGCATCTAATTCATTAGCATTGTCAACGCACCAAATCAAAACACATACGTACCAAACCGTCCTTTACCTTTGGCCAACAGGCGTTTGAAAACTTGAAATGCTTCACTCATGACTAGAATAAACTATTCAAAATTTTATGTAGAAGAATGTTCAATTCTGGGGGCTCTTCCCCTTATATACTTGCGTCACGTAACTACGCTAGCTTTCTGTAGTTAACTACCTACTCATGTGTAGTTACAGCTCTAAAAATAAACCACGCCTGCCCCATCCGGTTCCCAGGAACTAGGGACCACACTGTAGGCAACTCCCGAAAGAATTCTACATTTATCGACCGGGAACGCATATACTTAGCATTGCTTTATTCTTCTCTTTGATGCGATTTTCAAGTGAACATAGGCCATCTTGAGAAGCTACCCCTGGAAATTTTTCATCCCATAACGCTAAGCTTGGATGTCTACGATCTTTACCATCTCTTGGTCGTGTTTCCTACACGCGGGTTGTACCACCAGCTCCGCCGGGTGTTGTCGAATCAAGGATGTCTGATGGCGCTGCTGTATGCAATTCACTTAGGAAGCCTAGACCTCATACAACTGATTCCTAACGTATCTCAGCATACCAGGAGGTTCGATGACTATGCACGCTACGCAGAACAATCCGATGAGAATGCGTTTTTTGGCGGTCATGATTCGATGGCCCAGAAATTTGCGACGATTAAATTTCGAGGTTACATCAATCCTTTAATTATCACGATCAACGCAAGATCAACCGGCCCAGACGACAGTATTATTCAATTTATTCTACAGTGAAATTCGAAATCAGTTTTAACTCCAAACTCTTGCGACTTGATTCGCGAACCCTAAATTGCTACACGCTAATATGTATTTGGTATAGCCTTCGATACCTGATTTTTCTAAGAATAGATATTGTACTGGAAGACGCGCGCGTCGCGCGCATCGGCCCTGAAACGATCAAAAACAAGAGACAGGAAAGTACATGTAAGAGAAGAGTTCAGTTGATGCACGCTAATAAAGATTGACTGATAACCTCGGCTCGGGGTGATCACTCATCATTTTACTTGATTATGTAACTACTACTTGACCAGCCTTTCAAGTCAAGCCTTTGCCGTAGTTATCTGGTTATCTAACACCAAGTCGGTTTATTAATCAAGCCGAGTCCCGTTCAGTCTCAACAGGTGGTGAATGGTGAATAGCACTTCCCAACAATGTTGGCTCCACAGCTTATACATAATTGGGTTCTCAATCATGGCTTTGATCAAGTCAATTGCTTCACAATCATTCAATTCTCTTCTGGCGCACTTCTAACACCCAGCTCTCAAATCTGATCTTGCTCCAGTACAATTCAAGTACGGCAAAAAGAGACCTGCCTCACAGAAATTGACATTTAGGCAATGCCTACCTCTAAATATCCTGAGACACAGGATTCTATGGACCATTCTACGGAAGTCTTTTACGGGGGGAATTGCCATTGTAAAGCTGTGTGTTTCTCTGCAAAACTACCGTCTTCACTGTCGCAATTGAAAGTAGTCTCGTGCAATTGTATGTACGCATATGCATAATGCCCCCTACAAGCTTATATTACCTGCCCTGCGAACTGGTACTATATTGCGATTGACTGCCCAGACTAAAAAGCCGTTCTAGGTAGCTATTGTCACATTTCAGGCAGTCTGCTTGCGTTCGTGGATGATATGGAAATTCAGGAAGGGACAAAATTTCTTAAGGTTTGAATCACCTACGCAATTGCAAAGATCAATGACCAATATAATATAGGAATATCGGTTCGGCTCGCATACCATACAGATATTCTTTTGCGGAATCTGTGGTGCCAATGTTTATAACAAGTCGGTGAATCCAAAGTTCAGATATGGTCAATATGCTATTAATGTAAGTCGAGATTTCCTGGCTGATTACCACCATCCTCTGTATAACAATGCCCGTTTAACACTATAGAAGAGAGTGCATATAGGCTAACAGATAAATCGTGATTCCACTTTAGATACGCCTACTACACGATATTGATTTGGAAACCATAGAAATCAGCAAGGGTGATGGAAAGAATATTCATCTGCCACCTCTAGAAAAGAATCCGATTTAGAGTTGGGGAGGGGGGGGTGGGCCTACGCTGCGAAAATCAAGAGAGAATTTATTTCTATCAATCATAATTATTGGCGCGGACTTCCGATCGAAAGGGTGTACCACCGAGGCAGAGGCGTAAAGTGGCGCTGCGGTTGGATAATTGTAGATAGACGCATTTGGCGGTCAAATAACAAGGCCGATTAGATGACATTTTAGAACGACGTGATAAACACGAGAGGCATTTAAACTGGAGAGACAACGTACTATGAGGAAATGATTGTGGTGATAAACGGCATAGCGTTGCAATAAATCGAGGGACAACAAGCAGATGACGAAGCAATCATAGCAGGTTAACGTGCAGAAATATGCAGACAAAACCCTACAACCCTAAGCCAAGACGATCTAGTCCGAAGAAAGCGATGATAATGCAGGTACCGGTGGACAGCAGAGCGAATGATGAACGTGCGTGGCAAAACAATCCATATATAGTTTAGCCACCTCTTATTGCACAGTCTCGCGCGCACGTACATCCGTGTTGACTATTCCCTTTCTCTCACTTCGTTCGTTTCAGGGCATTTTACATGACGCTGTTGGGACCCTGTCCTGTGTAATTTACTCGAAAATGCCATACACCGGTGATGCTATCCACCCCAAGCAGGAGGCATCTTCACCCATCCATCTCTCATCAATGTCACGTTAGATCTCACAAAATGGTCTCGAGACTTCTCCCATCCGAACATCACCCCGTCCGCGATATGATAGCCAGTCACCTACCACTTAAATGGCCGAAGAAGCTGAATGCAGCCTGGTTACGATTATGGATATTCGCACAAACCTAAGGGAATTTGGAAGAGCACCCTCAGCTCGAGTACAGTAGGATAGAAAAGGACTGTGAAGCCACTGATGATTGAATAAACAAGCTGAACCAAAACTCCTGCTATCCTAATTTGGAAACACCAAGGAGTAAGCCGAGGTGCGGAATTATGTACACCAAATTTTTGTTTTGTATACTAATATATGCTGTCATTCTGTTTCAGAAGGGCAGACACAGCCCAAGGCATATACGGCTGGATATAAAGGCTTGTCGTGAACGAGCAACAAACAACTCTCGAGACTCTTAATCACCATACTAAAACTGCCAATGTATCGATTGACTGATGATTAGGTGATTCTCCATAGGTCAGCAACCGTGAAAAAATGCCCTCTTGTAAATGCATCCAATATAACTCGGCAGGGAATGTCGCTGCCACATTCCCGTGCTAGTCGACGAGTGACTAGTTCCATGTTTGTTTCCGAGGCACCAAGTAAGAAACCGGCAGGTAGGGTAACAAGGCATTCTTTCAAATCGATAGGTGGAAAAGCACATCGAAATCCGAATAAGGGGATTGGTAAAAGGACATCTTCACCATCTCCAGAATATGAAGAAACAATAGCGTCGGAAGATATAGGGCCACGGATGAGATATTCTTCCTTAAAGTAAGGCTGCTGCTTGAGTTTAAAATGCTTCTTAAGGGCAGTGACTGTATATACTTCCGAATGCGAAGGAAGCAGATGCGTAAGGATAAGATGAACTCGAATGTTTCGTACACCTTTCGTCTTCCATGCACGTATTCGGGATGACAGACCCATCCAAGTCGTAAATGAGGAGAACTGCGTTGGGCGATAAGATTGCATTTCCCCATGACAGTCAACCTCCCAGCCTTCGATTTCACGACGACCTCGATATCGAGGCCAGATATTGCCATCCGAATCGGGGCCATGATTCGGTGGAATTAAACCACTCGCGTTTCCGTTGTGTTGCCCGCATCAATACAACGGGGAGATGATCTCGTGTGTGGTCGTTGTGAGCTGAGCAGCAGTTCTCGTCACATAGCCTAGTGAAAGGTATTGTAGGCAGAGCCATGTCGACCATTTGTTGGCTTGGAGAGAAGTGCTTTGTGGTTGGAGAATAGGTGCGAAAAAATGAAAAGTGATGAGGGGCCTTTTGCTGCGTGTTGACTTAGTAAGCTTCTTGTAAATTACGATTTTTTCAGCGCCATGTGAACTATTATTACAAAGCCTTACAGTATCTTGAAAAATATTTGCGCCAGTTGAGCACTACGTAGTATGTTTTCAATGAAGTTGGAGAAAGAATCTCTGCAAGTGTTGAAACTGATTTGATCTATCCTGCACGATGGCGGTCCTTGGATGGTTCTTGTCAAAAGCCCTAGCTATAAAGAAACAAGTTGCCCACCAGGATAAGTTCTCTATAGGATCACTACAATCTTTATTTGAAGGCAAACGAGTGTGGATGAAAGCTGCGCGTGACAATTAAGATAATAGGGCATGGAAGAAGCGTCTTGCCAGATTATTAGGACTGTCTCTTTGTTTGATCTGTTTACACTATGGTTCCATCGGTTTCTACGAGGAATTACGGTACTATAACAACCCCTCGTTGTGGTTACTAGTGAATACAATACAGCCTTACATGGATGACTGGCGGAAGAGCTAAAATTAGATTGGCTTGTCCCCACTTGGGGCCCGGGAATTAAATCGCAAGAGTGTGGAGTTAAAACTGATTTCGAATTCCACTGTACAGATTGGCGCCCAGGTAGATGTCCCCGACGAATTTCATCGTCGTGCCCATTATACGTTGCGACGTCTAGTACGGACCTTCATGTCGCCCGGTTGTTGCTTAAACACCAAGCACCTCCGAATATGGCTCTCGGCCTGCACTGTCGCGTTCCACTCAACGCTGCTGTTGAGCGAAACCACGTGTAGTTGGTGAAGTGGTTGCTTCTTAATCATAGGGGTCAACTCTGGTCCCATCCTTTCCATTCTCCACATTTACAGCGTCGCGTAAAATCATGCCAGTCAATGAGAATCCTGAATATACTTGTCACAAATGGAGAATACGACATGAGCGATGAAGCGATCTTGAAGATATTGAGGTGGAGGTTCAGTTTACCGAGTCGACGACAACGAGAATGAAACGAAACCAGAGACCAAGAATATTGACCAATAACGCTGCCGCTGCGCTGATAAGTTGTATTCGATCTGAGCATTTTGACACTTTGTGGCATAAGTTGTTGCAGCTGGTCATTCTCTAAATTGTCGTGGCGCGTTCATCGAAGATTCTTGTTCCGACAGCGACTCGTGTCGTGTGTTGCTTTGAGTGCTCTCCTTTTGCTATGCAGTAACAGGCTTTAAAATAATAATCGTGACTAAGCATTCACCTACACCCGTCCCGCGTGTAGGTGAGCCAATGCCTAAACACAAACCAATGCCTAAACACAAAAACTTCAACCTTCAATTTTTGTCCTTACTTTTTACCACCAAAACTATGCCAATTTCGTCCGAAAAAGAAGAGATTCTTCTCTCAAATGCCGTTGAAGCCTATAAATCAGGCCAATTCAAGAGTATTCAGGCCGCAGCCTCTCATTTTGGCGTCTCAAAGTGGAAGCTTCGGAATCGAAGTAACGGCACGCCTAGTAAAAATGGCCGTACAGCCACCAACAAAGCACTAAATCAGTCGCAAGAGAGATCCCTGATTAGCTGGATTGAGCTGCTTAATTCAGTATATACACCACCGACTGCTTTAGACATTGAGGGCGCTGCAAATCGCATTTTACAGCACTGCGGTTCCGACCGGCAGGTTAGTAAAATGTACGGCTACCAATTCATCGCGCGCCTACCACCGCATATCACTCTCCGTACGCAAAAGCCTATGGAAAAAGCGAGAATCGAGGCCGAATTACATGGTGAATTGGTTCATTGGTATAAGGTCTTTGGCCAATTCCTTAAAAAGAATAAAATTCAGGCCCACGAACTCTATAACTGGGATGAAACTGGCTTTCAGCTAGGCGTTGGAACTAAGGAAAACGTCGCTTCTACCCGTGAAAATGAGACGATTGCGACCGGTGGAATAGGCCAGAATATCACTGGTAATGAATGCATTTCGGCCGATGGCTGGGTTATGCATCCCTGGTTTTTAATGTGTGGTTCTGAACAAATGGAAGATTGGTATAGGGTCATTAAACCAACTGCTAAAGGCTGGACGGACGATAAAACTGCGATTCAATGGCTATTGGATTTCCATTATACCACCAAAAAGCGAGTTACCAAAGGTAGACCTAGGGTTTTGGTTATGGATAACCATGGTTCTCACGGAACCCCGGAATTCGAATACCTTTGCCAATCCCTTAATATCATACCTTGGTGGTTTATACCGAAATTAACACATCGATGCCAGCCTCTCGATGGCAAGCCATTCTCGGTCCTCAAACAGAAATTCCGAAAGAAGAATAATGAGATCGTCCGATGGGGTGGAGATGTTGATGATAAACGGCATTTTCTTCGGTTGATTAAAACTGTTCGCAAAGACACATTCAAATCACGAACTATTAAATCGTCATTCTATGATACTGGTATTTGGCCTTGGAATCCACATATTGTCTGTGATCAAATTGATCCTAGCTGGGAAGATGAACCAGTGCTTGAGATCTATGGTCATACACCTTCGCCAGAGGCGGAAATTCCTAGCTCAATCACGAATTCGCCGCCGAACTCGGATCAAAGGTTCTCAAAAATTGAGAATAAGCTTCAAACGATATTCGAAAACGACGAACCAGACCTTCCGAAGGTTCAAAAGCATATAAACCGTGCAATTCGTGGCGGCAAGCAGGCTATCCAAGACCTAGCCCTTGCAAAGCAGACGATTACAAAGATGCAAAGCCATAAAATTCCTGTCAAAAGATCAAAGCGTATTATAAAGAGTGCTTCTAAGTCCCCATTATCGTCAATTGCAGGCAATTCGAGGGTTCATCGACGCTGTACGAAGGAAACAAAATTGGACATTGGGAATGAGAGTGCGCACGCAAGGATTCGAGACTACTGGCTTCGGGCCAACCAAGCTCTCAAAGAAAAAGAAGAGGCATCAGGAGGTAGAGATTATCTCGATGTAGAAGATGAGGTCTTTAAATATGTAAATATAGATAGTATGGTGGCTGAAAAATAGGTCTGAAATTGAACGCATGAAGTTTTTGTGTTTAGGCATTGGCTCACCTACACGCGGGACGGGTGTAGGTGAATGCTTAGTCACGATTATGTCATTGATTAGTTTGCTTTCTTTACCGGTCGGGGTTTGTATTTTTTTGCATTGATCTTTGGTTGATTAGCTTTCTCTAGAGCTCGCCAAATCTTGCTTCTCTTTCTTCCCGGTCTTTAGTATTTTGAATGGAGTACTCTCTTACTCTACATCCTTGCTCTACTTATAGACCTGACTTGTAACATAACACTTTCTGATATGATTAGAAACAGTTGGAGTTGCGAAGCTACGGTCGCAGGCCAAGTCCTAAGCCATCATCAAAATAATTCCCAGATTTCAATCGCGCACACCTCTATCAACATAACCTATTTTGGCTCGAAATTGAAACCTTATAAAATCCACTACCAGGAATAGAACTCCTTAAAAATCTTAGTATTATCCGAGGCCTGTAGCAAAAACAAGTGGGCGTCTGAAAGTTAACTCATGTGGGCGTTGACCCGCCGTAGTTAACTCGAAAGCCCTAATCCGAGTTACGGTAACTTGTCCCACCCCCATGGGATAGAAGTACCACCAATATTGTTAACTGCCCGACCATTGAGACAATTCATCATTCTACTCTTTTTGTTTTAGGTGAGGGGGAAGTCAATTGAGTTTACTCTATCTACAATCGGAGAAAGAAAAATATCCATAGAAGAAATTTGCGAGGGTCTCGTAATTCTGATAGGCAATGTGAGGGCCTGTTAGTAGTAAGCATAAAAGCTAAGCCTAAAATAGAACAAGATTAAACCACTCCGTAATAGCTTTAGGTCTTCGCATATCGCACGCTCTTTATACCGTTTCGAGAATCGGCAGGAGAGAAGAGGACGCCGTTTAACAAATTTCGTAACCCAATTTTCGCCGACCGAAAATAACCGGGGTAGTTCCGCGCTCTATAAGGAGAAGATTCCCCATTTCTCGTACCATAGACGGCCGGGGGGCTACTCCACGAGAATCCATGGAGAGAATCTATGTCTGAAGCGATTCTCCTCCTCGGTTTCTGTCAATTTATGTGGATTTGCGCGCATAGTGCTTCGTTCGGCATGGCCGTTAAGACGATCGCGTGAGGTGGAACGGGTATACTGAAAGTGCGGGCGGCAGCAGCAATAGTACGAATTTCTTGTTAGTACGAATTTCTTGCTTCATAATAGCCTAGATAGCTAATAAGATCCTGCCCTCTTCCTCTTTTGAATTTTCAGAGCTTCGGGAGTGAATTGGGGGCACGGTGGGTGGTTGAATTGACTAAGTACTAATTCCTGGACGCGTTTTGGGTGAGGTGTCGGCTCGGTGGTGGTGGCGGCTCGGTAGTGAAATACGTTAGTGGTAACTAAGCTTACCAATCCGTTTCCTCTTACCTGACTAATTACCCCTTTCCTACCCCTCCTCCGCCTACTTAAATGGTTGCATGGTTCTGGGTCCTTCGCAAAACCACTTTTTTACCCAGCCAAGCTTCATTATCTCCTCCTTTTCCCCACGATATCCGTGGCACTCCCAAGTTCTTTGGCAAGCCTTGCTACGACGCAAATATGCCTGGTTACCAGCCCAAGGCGACGATGCTGCTCTCAGAGGGTCAGTCCGCCATCTACTCTATCGTCAAATTACTCTCGCCACCGGAAAATGGGCGATCGAAAGCCCTAGTTTCTAGACTGGAAGCTGTTGAGAAAGAATTTGATAAAATTTTCACAATTCTTCAACAAGTTGTTCCGGACGATCAACAAGAAGTCCTCGATAGAACCATTACCAATGGTATTGAAGATGTTGTCAAAAGGTTGCAGAGCAAACTAGAAAGTGCCGAGGAGCGCAGCACTAAAGGATACATATCCACTTTGTGGCAAGGCTTGCAAAACGTCTCTTCTTCTGGTGACCTAAATTCATGGGAAATCTTCACAGAAAGCCTCGAAAAACACGTTGCCTCTGCCTGTGCCCGCTTCTATTTCGAGTTATGGATACACGGGGTGAAAATGATTAATGCGCCGGCCCTGGAGAGATTATTCCCGCACGTTTCCTTTCCTTTTTCTAATTAGTATTTCGAATGGAATGCACTCTCTATTTATAAAGATCTGGCAGGTAACATGTGGATTAATCTCCAGCAGGGAGAGGAAGAAAGATATGGAACGTAGGCTTCGCTGTCCTCGAGAACCTCTCCCCCGTACGTTGGCACTTGTAAGAGTATACAATTTTCCTGTGTAAGGCGTGTCAACCGGGTAATTTTGGGGAGGGATCAAGTGTACTTAGACCTCGCCAAAGTCCAATTGACCCATCGATGGACATGTCCAAACCGGTCCATGGGCGGGTTTGGACACCTTTTTGGTGTCCAGTGGGTCAAAAGTGGGGACATTGTAATGTGCATAGAGTTATGTAGAATTTGCTGTATTTAACGGTATCTAGTTTACGCCTGTAGATAAATTCTTAGGGTTTAGGGTTTAGGGTTTAGGGTTTAGGGTTTAGGGTTAGGGTTTAG